CCTGCTGATAAACAGATTCGATGTTATTTAATAATTCACATATAACACTATAAATTGCATGGTGTGCTGGGTGCAAGACACATATGCAGCTCCCTGTATTCATGGCAGTATTTTTCTGATATGTTTCCTCTTCAAGAAACTGAAAAACAGGATTGCAGTTCTCATGCATGACCCTCAGCCTTCTGTAGTCCAATGTGCATTGTGGCATAAAAATTAATTTAGTGTTGTTGTGCTATTGCTGTATTTTGAAAAGAAAGCTTCATTTATCCTGTGCCTGATTAGTCTGTGGTCAGAAAACTTCTTCCTATATGCAGGGACATTATGAGAATAGATGTGTACTGTTAGTTCATGACCCAGCTTTGCAGCTGAGGATTCTCAGCTGCCAAAAGGTCAAAAGAGAAAGGAAATATTTTTTCAAATAAAGTTGCATGCATTTCCCTGAGGAGCATCAAGTGTGAAAACCATTTAAACAGCAGGCTTACGCCTGGCATTTAGCCTGAGCTTCAGGTAGAGACATCTGGATTCCGTTCTTGTTTTGCCTTCTTAATAAAAAACACTACACAGTAGTTTTGAGCAGTAGGAGCTTTGTTTCTTCATTTCCTTCCTCATCTTTGTTCTTACACAGATTATATTGATGGTGAGGGAGACTGGAGCCCATGGTCCCTTTGCAGCGTCACCTGTGGAAGCGGCAACCAGAAGCGGACAAGGTCCTGTGGATATGCCTGCACTGCCACCGAGTCACGGACATGCGACAGGCCCAACTGCCCAGGTGAGGGCATGTCCACCCTCTCCAGGGGCAGCGGGGAGGGGCAGTCAGGGGTGGGGCTGCCCACCTTGTGCCCCAGCTAGATAAGAGTTTTGGTGGGAACAGGCTTCCAAGGGCATTTATGAAATGGCAGGTTCTTCGCTAGTAATAATATGCTGCTAGATGGTCTGCTATCCCCTGGGATTTAAAAGACAAAGACAGGCTTTTTTTTAGGTTATGGTAGTCCTTTCTGTGCACAGTACAGGGTGTAATCTGCCCTCTTGAAACAAATTCCTATTAATTTTAGAATTTCAAAACAGCAGTGTTGACTGTTACTTCAGCGAGCTCATGTTTCGCTGTACAGTAAGGGTGCATGCCTGTCATGTGAACAAATAGCTCCCCCCAATAAAATGGCTTTTAAGTTTTCTGCCTAAAGTGTACAGAGTTACTTTAAATATCCACATGTATTAGTATTAAAAAAAACCAACAAACAAAACAACAACAAAATAAAGCTACTTTAAATACCCACTTTTCTCCAGAGATTTTGGGTTCATTGGGCATTAAGATACAAAATTTCCTGTCATGGAAAGTCAGTGTTAAGGTGGAAATGTTATCTCTGTTTCGTTACATGTTGCTTGATAATTGGAGAATTATAAAACAGCAAGTTTGGTCCTGCAACAGCTGTGCACAGAGAGATGAAGGGATGTGTAGTTGACCTTAGCTCCTGCCCATCTACAGGGATTGACATTTAAATGCCAGTACCAGAGGTGTCCTTACCATCACACAGTTACTGCTTTAGTGAAAGCAGGGCAGAGCACTCAAACCCACATAATAAAAATTTAAAGCTGCTGTGGAAAACTGTCCCATGATGTCCTTTAAATGGTGCTGTGTTTGGATTTAGGCAAGTTTGTAATGGAGTGATGCAGTAGTTGCCACAGTGCATGGGGTATGTACAATTTCATTACTTCTCAAGATCAGAGAGAAGTAAAAACACATGCCATGGTGGTATGCATTTCACTGAGTTTACTTAATGACTCAGAAAGGCAGAAATTCTTAAAGTGGAGGTCAAGATTTTTTTGATGGGAAGTGAAATGTCAGCAGTGCTGGAGAGAAGACTTAGAAGCCTCAGTGAGAGAGCTGGAGAGAAGTTTCTCACTCGCAGATAGATGTCTGCATCTGTTGTAAGGTAATGGCTGCTAGGCAGTTCAGGAGAAAAATGCTTCTGGATGCTGTCATACATGCTAAAACCTCAATAATAAAGGGTTAATTCCAGAAGAAAGCATGTAGCCCCCAGTTAGGTTCTCCAGTATTTATTACCAGCTAGCATCAAACAGTGGCAAACTTGAAATAATATATTATGTCATATAACAGACCCCCAACGATCAGCAAGCAAAATATATTCACTCTTTGAGGCTGTGCTGACATTTTTAAAATTACAAGGGCAAAGCTCAGCTTCTGCTGTTTATAATTCCAGCAGTGAATTACTGCCTTGTAATGGGTTCTTAGGTATCTATTATTCTTCATCTATTGCTGGAGTTAAGGCAAAACCCTATGATAATTTTATTGAAAAGCAGCCTGAGGCTGTTTTGAAGCTTTGCAAGCCACTATTATGCCCCAGTTCAAGAGATCAGGAAAAATTTCATTGGCAAGAAGATGAATGGTGAACAGACTTCATTATTAACCATATAGTTATCACATATTAAAGAGCTTTCTGCTCTCTTTGGAGGTCTTTAATTCAATGGTGAGGAACAAAAAAACAAACCTGTTCAGATACTTCTTTGAAGAGACATTTGTTTTAAGGCTACATGGCACAGAAACATTACGGAAACACTAAACATTAAGGAAGCACTGAAACTTGAAAGCTTTTCCCCTTTGGACTAAGCTAATGCTTAATTTTCCTTGGTCACTATACTTTTAAATGAAAGCTCCCTCCAGCAGCCATGTCAGATTACTTCCCTACCAATCACCAGCACTTTGCAGATCTGGGAAAGGAGGGGATGGTGGGGAGGCAGCCGATGGCATTGTGTTTTAGTAGGAAAACACCGCACTCCACTAACACGTGTTTATCTTAGGGATTGAAGATACCTTCCGAACAGCTGCCACAGAAGTGAGCTTACTTGCAGGAAGTGAAGACTTCAATGCTACCAAACTGTTTGAAGTGGGTAAGCAGCCTACTCCAGCTTTCAGTAATAGATAAGAGACTTCCTTAGATTTCCCTGTTTCAGGTCTCACTGAGGGACCAAGATTTTGAGTTTACCATTAAAAATGTCAGTAATAATGGCCGGTTATTATCTTGCGTAAGTTTACAATCACAACCTTAGCTTGCTTCTGTAATAGAATCTTTCTCCTCTTAAGTCAGCAAATTTCTGTGCCTCTTTCGTTATAAAATGGTGACTCTCTGTCCTAGTTGAGAAAAGAGCTGTAAGGCTCCACACTAATGGAGAGGGGGGAAAAAACCCCACACTGTTTAGCATTTGCTGCAAAAGCCTCAAATAGAAGATACTATAAAAGCGTTTTAGGTACCACTCTAAAATAAATTTTAAAAAGACAGTTATTTGAATGAGCTTTTATAACTGCGTGCTGCAGGGGGGGCATTGCCAAAGCACTTTTATAGGGCGTGACTTGACACTGATCTAAAACTCAGCCCAAGCTCTATAATGTTCTGATTTCATCCCTCCAACAGTGTAGTTACTCTTAGACACCAGATGCTGGATTGATTGGATAAATAATGTAATCCAGCACCTCCCTCCTATGGTGCTAGAGCACAATAGCTAATGACAGCTGGGATAAGACTCTTTGAGGGGATAGAAAAACAGGACACAGATCACTAAGTAAATATTTTGCAAGAATGTTTGCTGTCAGAGTCCCCATCTTTGCCTTACTCCACAGTCCCATTAGGTAAGTGTGGAGCAAGATGTGAAGGGTTTTTTTGAAAGCCCATAGCATAATACAGGCACCTTAAATACTGTTCTAGCTACGAGATGTTTAACTGGATTCTCCCAAGACTCCTACAAAATAATAAAGTGCTAGTCTTAAATATGCTACTAGTCTATAAATCTCTTCAGTGCCAACTCTTCGTCATGGCTCTGGTGCCATTAAGTCCTCCTAATGTACAGACACTGTGATATTATGTCACATATGCTCTTCTAGCATCTGAATCAGTTTTGGCTGCATTTGCCAGATAAGATGTCAGTCTCCATGTCTGAACTAAAGCTGCTTGACATACCCTGTAGGGAAGATGGAGGCCAAATAGGAAAAAAAAGTATTGGTTAGTTAAAAGAAAAGACTGAACTAGGGCTCAATAATGAACTACAGAAAAAGTAATCCAGGCCTTGCTTGTGGTCTTGGTGTTTCTAGTGTCATGAGAAACTTAATCCTTCAACATCTGAATCTGCTGTTCTTACAAGGTGAGTGGAGTTTAAACTGTCAACTGGCATAAAACCACAGGGATTTCCTATTTCAGTTCTGTCTCCCGTAAAGTCATGATAGTGTCTCTTGTGCAGCCAATATGAGGGTATCAGCAGCTTAATCGGAATTGGCCAGGTAAAAGAAATGTCAAGGATTCTTAGTGGCATGGTGCTGCACTGAATTCAGACTGGAAGTGCCTGAAGCCAGTCACTCACCACTTCTTTATCTAAGACAGCACATTAACACATTGCAGGCAGAGAGGCAAGCTTGGCCTACTCTTTCTTTGTTAAGCAAAGCACCGGTGCTGAACAGTTGGGCTTTACTAATTTGTTACTGCTGATCATATGAACCGGGATGCTCAATAACGTATCTTAAGTTTCCACTTCCTGCCCTTAACCAGATACCGATAGCTGTGAAAGATGGATGAGCTGCAAAAGTGAGTTCTTGAAGAAATACATGCACAAAGTGGTCAACGATCTTCCCAGCTGCCCGTGCTCCTACCCCAGAGAGGTTGCATACAGCACTGCTGAGATCTATGATCGAATGAAGAGGAAAAACTTTCGCTGGAAAGATGCGAGTGGTCCAAAGGAAAAACTGGAGATCTACAAGCCAACCGCACGATACTGCATCCGCTCCATGCTCTCTTTGGAAAGCACAACGCTTGCAGCACAGCACTGCTGCTATGATGATAACATGCAGCTGATTACCAGAGGGAAAGGGGCAGGTACACCCAACCTGATCAGCATCGAATTCTCAGCAGAACTCCATTATAAAGTGGACATTTTGCCTTGGATTATATGCAAAGGTGACTGGAGCCGGTACAATGAAGCACGGCCTCCGAACAATGGGCAGAAGTGCACAGAAAACCCTTCAGATGAAGACTACTACAAGCAATTTCAAGAAGCAAGGGAATACTGAGAAGCTTTTCTTCTTCAGACACAAAGTAGCATTCGTTTCCTGGATGCCAAAGAACTGATAATGGCTGCTGCACTGTCTCTTTGACAGGGGTTGATCAGTTTCTTTCTAATGAATGTATATAGTTGTAATATAATACATAAGTATTTTTCATAGTGTGTGTAATTTATAAACACATATCTCTCTTATCTCACACACACCTATTTTTACATACAGCCATACATAAAACTTGTCCTGGTAGGATTTTATACCACAATAATGTTCATTTAATGATGTGCATTTCATTTTATTCCCCAACTGTAACATAAGTGTGAGGCGGAGGGGCAGGGGCGGGGAGGGGGCAGCTGCCATCATCAGACCCCAAGGCCCCAGCTGAGGAGGGCACATATTTAAAAGTTGCTCTAAACAATAGGACTGAAGAATGTATTCTTCCATATGGGAATGGTTTACAAGATTAATGCACCTACAACATCAGTTCTTTATAACTGATTTCATGACTAGTCATATCTAAGGAAGGAAGAATTTTTTTTGGAAGGGTAACTAACGCTCAAAAGTTAATGTAGACAGTTACTAGCTTTTTTTTTTTCTTGGAATTCTTCCCATTACCTACTAGCTCAGGTCTTTGCAGTCCATTTGGGGTGGGCTTGCAGGGAGAAGTGGCGGTGGTTTTCCTGTGGAGCAGAACAAATCCTGAGGCAGTGGTTCTGCAAGAATCAGGGACAGCCCACTCCCAGACACATCTCAGACACAGAGCTACAGCTATCAGGGCTGACACCTTATGCTGGGGAGCAGATCTTTAGGGCAGCTACCTGTAAACTAAGCACACCCTAAGTCTTTGGAGGAGTGAGGCCAGAGAAGGAAAGTGTCAAAGGAGAGAGAAAAAAAAAGAGTTACTTCCTAATTTTTAATATAAAGACTCTTTAGATCTGCTTGTTCCTTTCTTTTCTTAAAAGAAAAAAGTTATTTTTTTAAAGAACAGGAAAAGTGTGTTACATGTTCCTAAATTACCTGAGATAAAGCATGCAGCCAGCCCTTTCCCCCCTTTTATCATATGCTGAGTGCACAGTGTCCTGCAGAAGAAGCTGTTCTTAAAGGAAGCTGTCTGGGAGGAACTATTGGCGAGTTAAAATGTCGTCTTTTTTTTTTTTTTTTTTTTTTAAAGCTAGCATTATTTTTGTAAAGTATTTATTGAATTGTAACAATAATTCACATGCAGGATATGTCTCTAACATGAAAGGCTTCTGTAGATGGAACTTGATTGCCAAGAACAAGACTGTCGTTAGGCAAAGGTTTTACTTCCAAATTTTTATAAAGTGCAAGTTTACATACATAATCCTGTAATTAAACCGCTGATACCTGCGCTCTCATGAAAGACAAAAATTACACCATGGGTAAATAAACACAGTTCCATCCTGTAAAAGGCTCTCTTGCTGCAAGTCCATGTCGTCATTTTGAAAACTAAGGTTCCATGTTAGTAGTGAAACGCCAGTTTTGGGGTTCTGTGGTCTGATGCATACGTGTGTGCTGCATGTGGAACGTCACGCAGTGGTACAACCTGTCCTGCACTGCAGCTACTCTTAGCTGGAAGATTCAAGACAGCCATGAAAGACAATTCTGCTGCAGACACAGACACACACATACACATGTACTGCACATCTTTGCTCTGTTGGCCTTTCAGGTGCTGGTTGATTGTGACTTTGCAGATGTGTGTGCACAGCCTCCCCAGCATTAACACATGCAGAATGAAGTCCACTGAGTCTGGGAAGTGTCAGGCCCACGTAGGTCTGCCCAGGTGGCGGAAATCAGAGGATGCAAAAGCAGCATGGACCATGGACTCCCACTCCAACCAAACCTGATCTGACAGGCTGCAGAGCCTCAGCACTGAACTTGTGCTCCAAGCTTCCAGGAAGGCAGTGACCCAGGCAAAGTTACTGCACACACGCCACAGCGCCTGATCTTCTGAGGTAACTTCAGCAGCTGGAAATCTTGGCCAAGTCATCGGATCTTCCCAGATGCAGGCTTGAGGCAGAGATGACAGGAGACGTGGATAAATTCTAGCACTAGCTGGTAGTAACGAAACATGGTCAGTTGAGCAAGAGGGTAAACATGGGGATCACCCTTTAATTTTTATAGAAACCAGGTTTTTCAAATTCTTCCAAGGTCATAAGGAGGAGCCACTAGCTAGCGGAGCCAGTCAAATTGACAGCAGATGGATGAAAGGCATAAGCAACTCCAGGATCAGTCACTTAATAGGGAAGACAGGTATTTTCTGCAACATGGGGAGAGAGCTCTGCTTTTTACTTAGCAACACAGGGGGAACAACAGTCTCAGGTTTCTTAGGGAGGGTGATGAGAGGGCAGTCACAATTCTTGAAATATAAAACACATCCCTGCAGTTTATGGATTAGTAAATTACAGTGATACTGAGAAATGCTACTACACTGTTAATACTGAACATTACACAGTGTCAGGGAAGAGGAAAAATTATTCTAATAAGTGAAATGATGCACAAATTTCAAGTGTTACCACTCATAATTTACCAAGGCTAGAAACTCTGAGTAAGCCTAATAACCACTAACAAGGACCTACCAGGTTTTTCACAGGATGAGTCCTGGGGCACAATCAAGTGAGTATTCACACTTCTGCAGTCTTAAGCAATGGTCTTCATTAAAAACAAAGTCAGCCCTATTTTATAATGAACTGTGATCCATTCAGGGCTGGGCTGCTTTTATTTTTCTCTGTTTTATCTTCTCTCACAAAGACAGAAATTATACCTGAAATGACTTTGTGCAGTAGTCCTTAGCAAAGTGCTGGAGTTTACCATGGCTGGTTTTGGCTTAGTCTCTTAAATACAGATATCTTCATATTCAAGTAGAAGCTGAGCCAGGTTTTTTGGTCTTAGGTTCCCAGGCACAGGTCAGTTGTTAGAACGAGCTGTTGTTAGGTTCCTAAGTTACTGCAGAATAGGCATATTGGAAGACCCAACCAAAGACATTGAGACAGATTGAAACAAGCGGAAGTAAACAGGGCTCATGGACTCAAGCCTGAGCAATCCTCAGGGAGTCCTTCACTAGTAGCCATCCTGCTTCCCAAAAGGAAACTCAAAATACAGACTTTGCAGTGACCTCTCCAATCTGACCAGTTCTGTTTCCCTGTTTCTCATCAGCAAAGCCAGAGTTGGGCATTTTCACCTCCTGGCCTCTTGTTCCTCTGCACTCCCTTTCTCTTGGACAAGTGCAGCTCTTTACACAGCAGAAGGGACCAGTCAAGTCAACCAAGTTATTTTTAACCCCGTTCAACCAACAGATAGAGATCACTGCACAGCTCTAGAGGCAAGCTGGCAGGAACGCCTTCAGCTGGCACTGCTGCTGAGAGAGATGTGTGGAGCAGTGCCCCAAGGCAGCCATAAAAGGACTGAACTTGTACCTTTGATGATTAAAAGGATGAGTGGGCCTGGCTTCACATTGCCCGGACAGCTGCTAAGCAGCAAAATTCCACTAACACAACCCACAGTGATGCATATGGGTTACAGGACAATATAGCAAAAAATAAAAACATACACACAGACACAAATCCCTATGGTCCTGCATTAGTTACCAGCTGCATTCCCGCTGCCCCCCGCTGTGCAAAATGGTTAGCACTGTCAACACAACACATTGTTTCAAAAAAAGCTCATGAGTTCATAGGACTGCCTTTCCCAGATACAGCATTTTCATTGAGATAGATTGTAGGATTGGTTGCAACAAACAACTGATGCACCTGACACTTGCAATCTGAAGGCAGGCAAGGAGGGAATGTAATGGTTCCCTGCTGAGGAACCTGCTGCTTCATGGCTGGTGACTGCATATGTGAGCAATTTAGCCAGGCCATAGAAAGCCCTACTGCCAGAGTCCCTCACCTGTGATGGTTCCCCTGGTCAGTATCAGGAAGGCAGCAGGAGCCCTCACCCTTCATGGTGCTGGCACAGGGAATTGCCTGAGGCTAAGGCACAACTGCTGCAGCCCGGGCCCCCCCTCACACTCTGTCCTTGTTCTATCAAGGCACACCTGGAGCCACCTGGCGTGACTCGCTGCAGTGGGCGCCTGCTGGGTGGCAGTCACATTCATCCATCCTTAGAGAAAATTACTCTCGTTCAGGCTGGACAGATGACACAGAAACCGGACAAGTGCTGCTTCTAGCAGGGGCAAGGAGCTGGCAAGGCAGAGACCCTGTTTATAACCCACCCAAAGTCACACGGGAACTCCGTACAGTCACCCACAGAACCACCTGGCACCACATAAGTGGCAACAGCACGACAGGGCTCTCTCTTGTTTATCCAGAAGAGGAAGCCTGCAAACCAGAGATGGACAGGCTCCGGCTCTCTGTGCTCACTGTGGGCACCTGCACAGGCACAAGTATGGCCATATCCCCTTTCAGATACAGGGAGCACCGAGCACTGAGGAGGAAGGGTGTGAGCAGGGAGACCAGCAGCAAGCACCAGAACACAGATGACACTTTTTCCAGCAAACTGGTGTGAGCTTGTGCTGCTGCCCGGCTGCATGGCACCTCTGTGACAGCTGAGAGAGCCTGTGTTTGTCTATCACCAGTCCCCCCCTTCCCTTCCCTTTGTAACTTTTAATGGAAAAATGTGTGGGTAGTTTCCATTATGCCTGCACTGTTTCAGACAAATTAAGGGGTTGGCTAAGAAATCGCTGGTTTCATATTTCATACAAAACACACACACATGCATATATTTATATATATCTATGTAAATTAATTTAGGATATCCTCTAGTCATGCACTTTATGTGTGCTGTGAGTGTGGCATCTGCAGGAACAGCTCTGCCGAGGAGCACTGCCTTTTGGCCTGTACAAGGGGATGAGGCTATTTTTGCACTAGCACAGGGGGAGAAGGGCCAGGCAGCTGAAATGGCAGCATTTTTCAGCTCTGCCTTTCACTTTCGGAGTGGCAGGTTTATTCATTTTCCCTTTTCAGCTGCATTGCTAAAGCCACGTAGGTCTTTTATGACTGTGCTCATTTTCTATCAGTTTAGGGAGTTATGAATTTTTTTCCTTGCTTGTTCTCTGTCACAAGAATGAGCTGGGGGAGAGAGATATTTTTTTAAACACACAGAGAAGCTTTTCATTCAGTAAAATGCACAGTTTATAAGGGA